TATTTTGGCTCATGTCAATGTCAGGCTGGTGTGGCTACCTGTGCCAGGCCATCATGTTACTTGGTGGCACCCCTATGGCCAAGAGACTTATAGTCAAAAGTCTCACAGCCAATTAACCATTTTGGGCAAGGTAGGAATGAAGGTGGGCAGGTGTTTATTAACTGTTAGAGCCCTTTTAGTAATAGAAGAGCCCAAAACTAAAAGTCAAACAGCAAAAGGTTACAAAATTGACTTGTCTTTAAGTTTTATGTGTCGAGCCATTAGCTTTTAAGGCATCTGTGTGCCCAGGAGTCAAGACTCTGTAACTTAACAGCAGAAGAATTAATTAATAGCACAGCACCTAGTAAGAAAACTTTCAGTGGGGTGAAGGTAGTAATACTAGAGTCCATGACCTGACTGGAAGTTGTGAAAATATTTCACAACCTTGTAGTAATTAATTTTTATACTTTTGATAAGTTTCAGCAACAAATCAGAGACTTAATTTAGAAGAATTGAACTTCTGATGATGTTTGTCAAAGATGTTAAAGGGCTAAAAACATTTGATCACAACAGAATCACAGTTTAGGTATGGTGGCTCATGCTTGTAATCCCAGCAATTTTAGAACTTGGTTTGAAAGACTGAGGCAGGGGGATCATTTGAGGCCAAGAGTTCACGACCAGCCTGGCCAACATGGGGAAACTCCATCTCTACTAAAAATAAAAAAATTGTCTGGGCATGGTAATGTATATCTGTAATCCCAGCTACCCAGGAGGCTTAGGCATGAAAATCACTTGAACCTGGGAGGCAGAGTTTGCAGTGAGCCAAGATTACACCACTGCACTCTGGCCTGGGCAACAGAGCTAGACCCTGTCTAAAAACAAAAAACAAAAAATAAGCAAATGAAAAAACAGAATCACGGGTATGATTGTTAAAAGACTTGAAAGGCAATGTATAAGGTTATATGGATGTAAAAACCTTAACTCTTTTTAATCTTAGGGTTTTAAGAAAACAAAACCTAATAATAATAGAGATATCATCTTGATAAAATATAAACATCTTGTTTTTTTTAAAGACAGTTGCCAAAGAGGCAAAAAGAAGTGTTTTTCAGTGTGACTGATTTTCCTTAATGAAAGCCCATTTAGATAACCTGCAAATCAAACATGATGGTAAAAAGTACTTGAATTGAATCAGACACAGGAAGTGTTTTCAAGGTTATGGGTATAGTAGGGGAATACATAATTTTTAATAAGTGCATGAAAAGTTTTCTGATTTCATTGAAAAATTTAAGCATATTAAGAAAAGCCAAGAGTACAGATTCAACTTATAGTATTGGAAAACATTGCCTTTATTTTATACTTTATTTTATTATTTTAATTTTATTTTTAAGATAAAACATTTTAGCATCAGGCCACAATAACAACCAGAACCAGATGAAAATGTTACAGGATCTGATGAAAAAGCTGAAGGAAAGAGTTATCATCTCAGTCCTTCTGAAGGGGAGAAAGAATTGAAAGCAGCAAAACACAACAAAGTTGAATTTTTGAGACATGATTCTGATAAGATTTTAAAAGAAACAAATAATAGAATTTAAATAAAAACTTACAGTAATTGAGAGCAAATAAATACCTTAAGAAAACCTTTCTTTAACATAGGGGTCCAATTTTAGAAGGACTCTAGTGAACAATTAAAAAAAATATATAATCAACTTTATCAAGAAGTTTTTAAAAACAAATTTCTCTTTATTAACATAGTCACAACTTACACAGACCAAATATGACATGTTTGGACTTTCTTGTTTTATCTGTTTTTTCTTTTTTAAATAATAAGACGTTTTATTTTAGGCCAGAAATTTACCATCTAAGTTTTTTTTAATTTAAAATTATTTTTATAACTTTCTTTAACCAAAAATATATTTTTATATTTAAATAAATCTCTCTTTTTATTAACTTTTTAAAACTTTATTTTATTTTACTTTTTTTTTAGAGATAAGCTCTCACTATGTTCCTTAGGCTGGTATTAAACTCCTGCACTTAAGTGATCTTCCTGCCTTGGCCTCCCAAATTGCTAGGATTACAAACATCAGCCACTATGTCCAGCTGCTGTATTAGTCCCTTCTCACACTAAGACATATCTGAGACTGGGTAATTTATAGAGAAAAGAGGTTTCATTGACTCACAGTTCCATATAGGCTGTATGGGAGGCATGGGTGGGAAGGCCTCAGGAGACTTACAATCATGGCAGAAGTCGAAGGGGAAGCAAGCACTTCTTCACATGGTGACAGGAGAAAGAGAGAGAGAGTAAAGGGGGAAATGCATACACTTTTAAAGCATCAAATGTTAGAGAACTCACTCACTATCATGAGAACCACAAGGAAGAAATCTGCCTCCATGATCCAATCACCTTCCACCAGGCTCCTCTCGCAACGTTTGGAATTACAATTCAACATTAGGTTTGGGTGGGGACAAAGCAAAACCATATATGCCACCTTTTAAAATAACAGACTTTTAAATAACCCCTAAATTATATAAAATTATTTTTAAATAAGAACACAATTTATAGAATTATATATTAGCTGAAATTTATATTTTTAGTAATGTTAAATTTTCATGAAAACCTAAGCAGCCAGAAATTCTGAACTGTTTATCAGATGTTAGTATTTTATAAATGAAACCATTTTACAAATTTTAGAAATATATACTTCTTATATTAAGCACTCTTTTTAGCTGGAAATGACTCAGGTATCCAGTGAGCATCCAACATAATTTTAAGATTTTGAATTATACAAAAGTCTTCCTACAAACGTTTATCTCATTTATATGTACTTATTTTTTTCTTTTTAACAGTGTATAATAGATTACTTTTGAAAACTGAGATATTAAACAAAAGTAGTCATTATTTAAAGTTATTTTATTGCTAACCACTTATTAAGTCTGTGAACATCAGGTATTCACCTAAATAAGAATCTTAAAGTGAAATACATGGACATTTTGCTGATAACTCAAAAGATTCAGCCATTTTTATTGAAACAACAATATTTAGTCTTATTTGTTTAAAAAAAATCAAACAAACAACAATTATTTTGTTTTTGGCTGAGTTTATAGTCTCACAATATTTGTGCCAAACTGACACCTTAAAATAACTAGCAGAGGCAAACATAAAACTTCTCTAGACAAAAATGTATGCTGATGATTCTGAAGACATTTTTATTTTTATTTTACTAATATCCATATTTTTGAGACAGGGTCTCACTCTTGCCCAGGCTGCAGTGCAGTGGCATGATCACAGTTCATGGCAGCCTTAACACCTGGGCTCAGATGGTCCTTCTACCTTAGGCTCCCAAGTTGCGGGGACCAGAGACACACACCACCATGCCCAGATAATTTTTCTATTTTTTGTAGAGACAGAGTTTTGCAATATTGTCCAGGCTGGTCTCTTAACTCCTAGGTTCAAGGGATATGCCCACCTTGGCCTCCCATGGTGTTGTGATTACAGGTGTAAGCCACCATGCCTGGCTTTATTGTACTAATAAATTTAAAACAAGTTTTATTTACCAGGGATTCACATGAACTTGAAAAGCATTTGGACGTATTTTATGAATACTCATTTACTCATAAGGCAGTCTGGTAGTATGTTAGACACAACAAATAGCATAATACTTGTACATATACATAAACACATCTAAACATGTATACACACACACACACACACACACACACACACACACAAAGATACAATAGTTTTAATCTCAGAACTCTAGCCATGAGACAGCATCAAAAACTTACTGTCTTTTATAAAAGATAGCTGGATCCAAGTTATTTTTGAGAAAATTGGAACCTGTCAAGTGGCTAAACTTTCTTTGCCCTGATAGGTAATCCTGTAACAGCTGTGGACCAAAATTTTGGGTAATGCAGTTTTCATTTTTAAAAACATGCTTTATCCTTTTGTCTTTGGTTTTAAATGAGTTTCAGTGTTTACATTTTAGCTGAAACTGGCTGAACTGTGTAAGAAAAATAAAATGGCTGGGCGTGGTGGCTCACGCCTGTAATCCCAGCATTTTGGGAGGCTGAGGCGGGTAGATCACGAGGTCAAGAGATTGAGACCATCTTGGCCAACATGGTGAAACCCCGTCTCTACTAAAAATGCAAAAAATTAGCCGGATGTGGTAGCACATGCCTGTAATCCCAGCTACTTGGGAGGCTGAGACAGGAGAATTGCTTGAACCCAGGAGGTGGAGGTTGCAGTGAGCCGAGAATGCGCCATTGCACTTCAGCCTGGGCAGTGAGAGTGAAACTCCGTCTCAAAAAGAAAAAAAAAAAGAAAGAAAGAAAGAAAGAAAAAGGAAAAAAAAAGAAAAAGAAAATGTCCTAATAACTTTGAAATCATAAGTTTTATCTCAACACCAGTAACTTAGTAACAGCAGATTTAAAACAGGCAGAAAAGAGAAGAGAGAAACAGAGAGAGCTTTAGAAGACTCAACTCTTATTTGCCCATCAGTTTTAAAATTTTCACACAAGCCACAAGATGTAACCAGCTGGAGTCCCAGATAGACTGAAAAGTAATTTACATGTTTTCTTCCTGCACAGTTTGACACAGATACAATAAACACTCCTGAGTATCCCCCAAAAAATCAGGGGCCAGGATTTTGGAACCTGTTTCTCGCCTAGTGAGGACAGGAGAAGCCCGTTTTGCTGCATTCTAACAATCAGATGGACCTGGTCTTGGCTGGTGGGATTGAGACCATTCCAAAGCACCCTCACAGATAGGGGTAAGACTAAACAGACACACGCAAACAGATCTGATGCAGATGGAGCACTCCGAACTGAGCTTTGAAAGGGGATACTGGAGAAATGTCCTGGCATCTTGTCTCAAACACAGACAGCCCCACAGTTTAAGTGACCTGCATTAAGTCCAGGTGTCACACAGGCCAGGACAGCAGCGCAGATGACCTACACTAGGTATAAACAGCTAGAGAACGCAGATGGCAGAGACAGGATTTTCAGGTGCTTTCCAGTTGACTTACCTAGTTCTTGAAGCCTGTTGACTTTCCAGATGTTCCTTTCCTCACACCAACAGAGAATGGTACCAAAAGCTGATGCCATGAAAGGAAGGGAAGGGAAATGCCCTGAAATAAAGGCAGTCTTGGTAACTGCTGGTCCCAGGTGTGAGGACAACTAGCCATGAGCAGCTGGCATATGCAAGTGGCTCCTACCCTGTCTGGCAGCTTTAACATATAATACCTGACACACTGCTGCAGATAATTGCTCCAGTCATTGGAAACCAGGCATACAGTCTGAGTCACTTGAAACACACAATTTCTCACAAAAGGCACCAAATTAGTAACTGATTCAAGTTTGACTGCTCACTGCCCAGAGGCCAGAACACCAGAAACAAGATGTGGTGAAAGAAAAGCAACTTTATGCAAATGCTAGAAGTTGGGGAATGGCCAGGCTTATGCCCTTAAAAGGCAGTTTTTGCTTTGGGGGCTAATTAAGGGAGTTTAAGAGGGAAAACTTGGTAGGGAAAACATGCAACACTGGTCCAGGAGGATGCAGGTCTGCAGGTCTCGCCCAATGGCTGTCTTGAATATGTGCCCATCTGCAGGTCTGGTTGATATCATTGAAATCTTCCTGACTTCGGCCTGATAGTGGTAGACTAATTGTTCATAACTCCACCTAAGCAGGAGAATTCTGCACCTGAGTCTCTGCTTGTTTTATTTCAAAAGTAGCCCCTTGGGATCAGATGCAGTGGCTCACGCCTATAATCCCAGCACTTTGGGAGATCGAGGCGGGTAGATCACCTGAGGTTGGGAGTTCCAGACCAGGGTGACCAGCATGGAGAAACCCTGTCTGTACTAAAATTAAAAAATTAGCCGGGCATAGTGGTGCATGTCTGTAATCTCAGCTATTAGGGAGGCTGAGGCAGGAGAAGCACTTGAACCCAGGAGGTGGAGGTTGTGGTGAGCTGAGATTGCACCATTGCACTCCTGCCTAGGCAACAAAAGTGAAACTCCATCTCAAAAAAAAAAAAAAAGAAAAAGAAAAAAGAAAGAAAACAAGTAGCCCCTGGGATTTTTATGCAAACACATAATTAGATAAGTGAGCACTGCGCATGGGGGTGCCTAGTGGGAAAAGAGGGAAACTTAGTTTTAAAGTATATTTTATGGCTAACAGCAAGAAAGGAAAAAAAGTTTCAAAATCCATTTTGAAGCTAAGCTACTTGATTATACTGTTATCTAATACCTTAAAATCCTGAATTTAGGATATCAGAATAAATGTGAGCCCTTCCAAACAAGAAGGTTAACAAGTTCTGATCACAGAGTAACTTATTAGACCTGTTTATTTCAGAGAACTAGAAATTAGTGGCCCAGACCCTTGAACATTGAATGTATTGAATAGATAAGGATGTCTGTAGATTTATCCTGCCTCAGGTACAGGTATAGGAAGTAGAAGTGTGAAGATGTCATTGGAGAGACCTCTGCCTTAATATTTGTTGTCTTTTACCAGCTTAATTTCTACTTTTCACTTGTCAGTAGGAGGTTATCGAGACTAATACTTCAAACTGCAGGTATCTAATACTTATTAATGTATAGCTTATCAACTTTGGTAATTGCTGAAGTGTAGGGGCATTTTAGAAGCATTCCATCACAGTGTCAAACCAGAAGAAACTATGTTTATAATTTATGATCTGCAGGCTTAATTCAAGCCTTTAAGGTAGTTTTAGGTAAATTTTTCTCTAACTTTTTTTTATTGACTTTTCAAGATGCTAGTTGTATAAATGATTGAAAGTAAACAATGGTGTTACCTTCCCTAAAACCTGATTCTTGAATTAAAACTGTTTTCATGTTAATTTGGTATGTTAAATATGTATACATGATATGAATTATAGCTCATTTTTTAAAAAGTTACAATTCATATTTCCCTATTAGTTTTATTTTATTATATTATTTATTGGTGCCTGATTTAGATGTGTACAAATTAAATAATGACCATTACATTAATTTTTTAATGTAACAGGTTATTAACTTGAACATGATTTTAAAAAGCTATCACAGTCTCAAAAATTTAACACTAATAAAATAGACAATAACCATTAAATGAAAAAAGCTATCATGACTAATATTTGTCATCCAAGATGAAGATAATTTTCCCTGATATCGGATGTTAACTAAGTTTTCAGGTTTAGCTTCAGGGGTTAATTTAGATTTTAAAGCTGTGGTCCCCAACCCTGGGTCATGGACCAGTACCAATCTGTGTCCTGTTAGGAACCAGACCACACAGCAGGAGGTGAGCATGGGCGAGCAAACAAAGCTTCATCTGTACTCACAGCTGCTCCACATCACTTGCATGATCATCTGAGCTCCGCCTTCTGTCAGATCAGCAGCAGCATTAGATTCTGATAGCCATGTGAAACCTACTGTGAACTGTGCATGCACGTGAAAAATCTAGGTTGTGCACTCCTTGTGAGAATCTAATGCCTGATGATCTGTCACTGTCTCCCAACACCCCAAGATGGTACCATCTGGTTACAGGAAAACAAACTCAGGGCTCCCACTGATTCTATGTTATGGTGAGTTGTATAATAATTTCATTACATACTACAGTAATAATAGTAGAAATAAAATGCACAATACATGTAATCTGCTTGAATCATGCCCAAACCATCCCCCACTCCTTGGTTCATGGAAAAATTGTCTTCCACTAAACCGGTCCCTGGTGCCAAAAAAGTTGGGGGCCACTGTTTTAAAGTACTCTTCAATCTCTCAGTTTGTGTGTCTATTCATGCTGGAACAGAAAACCAAATATCACATGTTCTCACTTATAAGTAGGAGCTAAATGATGAGAACACATGGACACATAGAGAGGACCAACACACACTGGGGCCTATTAGAGGGTGGAGAGTGGGAGGAGGGAGAGAATCAGGAAAAATAATTCATGGGTACTAGGCTTAATACCTGGGTGATAAAATAATCTGTGCAACAAACCCCCGTGACAGAAGTTTACTTATGTAACAAACCTGCACATGTATCCCCTGAACTTAAAAGTTAAAAGATAAAAATAAAAATTTATCTGTATATGTAATATAAATTATTCTTATAGTAAAATACTGTATCTTATTGGCATTAAATTAAATTACTACCACCTATATAGCTCTAAGAATTATCTTAAGGAATAAAGTGTTTATTTCTTATTTCTCTGGTTGTGAGAAATGAAATCAAGGTGGCCTATTTCCAGCACCAACCTGTTGGTGCCTAGTGTTCCATTATTGGAATGCTAAGCATGTGGGAGTTATTTATATCCTACTGCTCAAGGTCATCGCAAAGGTCTGATTGCAAAATTTCAAAAAATTTTAACCTCAGGCATAAATGGATTAAAACTGTTTCATTAAATTACTTTTCCATTATTTTTTCTTATGAAATAATATATATGTGTATATATATATATATTATTTTCAGACTCCAGTGGTTGTGAAAAATGAAATCACGTTTGACTTATTTTCAGCAAATGAACATTTACTCTGCAGTGAGGTATGTACAGAAGTATGAACTAAAGTCTCATCATGGAATGACTTCCAGGCCTGCTTAAACTGTTCCCAGACAGTAGATTTCAGCTCCCCTTGCTCACCTTTGAGTTTTGGTATTCTTTATATATATATATTATATAAAAATATATATTATATATATAATATATAATATATATGTATTTGTATATATTTATATATGTATTTATATATCTTTATATTATATATAAAATATATACATATATTATATAAAATATATATAATACAAATGTATATAATATATATTTATATATATAAATATATAAACATCTACTTGCAACAGTGCAGCTGTAGTCAACAATATTGTATTGCATACCTGAAATATAATATATATATGAGAGGTGTGAGGCAGAGTGTTGCTCTGTTGCTTAGGCTGGAGTGCAGTGGTATGAACACAGCTCGGCGCAGTCTCAATCTTCTGGGCTAAAAATGATCCTCCCATCTCAGACTCCTGAGGTGGTAGGACAACAGGCATGTGCCATCACTCCCAGCTAATTTTAAAATTTTTGGTAGAGATGAGATCTCACCACATTGCTTATGCTGGTCTTAAACTCCTGGACTCAAGTAGTCCTCCCACACAGCCTCCCAAAGTGCTGGGATTACAAGCACGAGCCACTGTTCCTGGCCAAAAGTCATATATATTTGAGGTATACAACTTGATGATTTGACATGTATTGTTAAATATTCATCACAATTAAGCTAATCAACACTTTATCAATTCAGTTATGTGTGTTTGTCTGTGTATATGTGTGTTAAGAGCACTAAAGATCTATTCTCTTAGCAAATTTCAGGTATGCAATACAATATTGTCGACTACAGCTGCACTGTTGCAAGTAGATGTCCAGAACATATCTTTCAGAACTAAAACTTTGTACTCCTTACCAACATCTCCCCATATCCCCCTCCTTCCAGACCCTGGTAACCACCATTTCTCTATCTGTTACTAGGACTTTCATATTTTTAGATTCCACATAGATGTGAAATCATGCAATTATTTGTACTTCTTTCTTTCTCTGGCTTATTTCACTTAAGGTAGTGGTATTTTTCACACCACTATTCAAAAGGGAAATGAATTCCCTTTAACTGAGTTTAGTGAGCACATGGTAGTGAGCACATGGTAGGCATGTTTGCTCATGCCTCTGTTCTCCCACCCCTGGTTTCAAAGTAGCTGTATTCTCTTCCTCTGGGCTTTTACACTTGGGATCCACATGACCAGCAATGGACATGAAGTGACTGCCCTTCTTGTCCTACGCCACATCAAGAGGAGGGTACAGTAATATTCTGTGACTTGATAGTGTGGGGGAAGTTGGAGTATACTTGGATTGCAATACCTCTTCTGAAACAGCAGTTTTCAGCACAGCTGTCCTACTCCCTGTGGGAACTCATCTCCCCAAGTCCTACTACCCACCTCCCCTCCCTATGCTTGGTTGGGTTATATTCATCACAAACAGACCTGTTCCACTCCCCTAAGTTAGTTCAATCAGAAACAAGAACTTTTAAAAATTATTTTCACCTAAGGCTCAGGGGAGTGGGGCATAGTCAATATTGATTAAAATACTTTTTCTCATCTTTAATATCTTGACCAATATTAAAATCAAAATATTTATTATATTTCTTCAACCAGATAATACACATTAGCATAAAATTATCTTGAAATAGTTTTATGTTTTAGTATAAAGTACACCTATTTTATGAATACTAAACCCACTTAGATTTTAGCTTTTCATTTTTTAAGGGAAGGAAAATATAATATATTCTGCAATAAAATTTC